ATATATATATATATATATATATATATATATATATATATATATATATATATATATATATATATATGTATATATATATATATAAAACCCCTTTTAATAATTTATGTAAGATAAAATATTAAAAAGTTGTGTACCTATCAAAGGTATTCAACAAATTAGTTTTTTTTTATATTTAATATGCTTAAATCAACCCCTTTTTATAACAAAGAAATTATGTGATAATATCTTTTTAATTTTTTTTTATGTACATTTTTTAACTACGAAAAATATTTTTAATCGCTTTATTTTAACATATTAGACATTTAAGACAAGACAACAACTTTTTATGCAATTTCGAATTCCTTGTTCAACCTTGTTAGATCCCTGAAATAATAAAGAATATTAGATTTAATGAAATATGATAGTTTTTATTAGAAAGTATTTGTTAATTGTACCTATTTTCTATAGCGTCATTTAAATGATGTTTGTGCATAAGTGAAATGACAAGTCTCAAAGTCGACCAAATAGTATTCGACATCGCTTTCAGCGAGAAACTTTCACCATGAATTCCACGGCCGGAAGCTTGTTGGTTTAAAGCTATTATAAGATGTTCACCTGCTTCTCTGTGGAAAAATATACGATTCAATAATATAAAACATTGTACATAATGTAAAAAAATTTTACTCACTTATATGCACCAAGATTAATACAAGAAATTCCGAGATTGTAACGAGCTCTAATAAATCCAGGTGATAGTTTTAAAGCATGATGATATGCATTTGTAGCTTCCTCTGATTTTTGACCATTAGCTAAAGTTGCACCTAATCTATTCCATAATCTAGAATCCTTCATTACATTATATTTTAAAATTATGTTTTTGATAATATATTAACAATTATTAATGTGAAATATTTTTAAGATTGATTTAATACATACATGTGGACGTACTTGCAGCGCTGCTTGGAAGCAATCACTAGCTTTATCATATTCGTTAGATAAATTAAAAAGTACTCCTAATCCACACTGTACATCTGCATCTATTTCGTTCCACGGATTCATTCGTGCAGCTTGAATATAAAGATTTTTTACTTCTTTGTGTATATCACTAGAAAAAGTACATAAACGTAAATAAAATATTAGATAATGCTCTGTATATGTGTACTTTGTTAAACTTATTATTACTTACTTGAACAGGATCGATGATACATTTGACTTTGACTGTTGCTCGGGACTGTTAATCTTTTCTGCTAAAAGATGCTTATATTTTTCATTTTTTAATAACCACTCTCTAAGAGTTATACATGCTTGATTTTGGTAAGATTCATTTGTGTATGAAACTGCAAGTGCCATAAGGGCTGCACCATTTGTAGGATCCAAACTTAGACAACGCTTCAAAGCAGAAATAGCTAACGGATCTTGTTCATTTTCAGCTTGAGTTTTACCAAGAAGTAACCAAGCTTCTGAATTATTTTCATCTTGTTGTACTGCTGCTTCAAAGCAAAGTATAGCACTTGGTAAATCTCCAGCTTCCAATCTTTTCTTACCCTCTTCTAATGCATTAGGTAAGTTTTTCATAGGATTCTCTTCATGAAAGTCATAATCTTTAAATGGATCATAAAAAGTATCATATTCTGAAAGCCATGGATGCTTAGAAGATAATTCTTCGGATGATGAAATCTTTTCCCATTCATTTTGAAGTTTTAAAAATGTAGACTCATAATTGTCTGTTTCTAAAATGTTATTTTTTATACATATAATTATTGAAATACTAACGTAATATTAATATGCCTACTAACCTGAAGAAGTACTTTCTTTTTGAAATTCATCTATCCAATTATCAGTAACAGTTAATTCTTCTTTTATCTTATTTGTCACTTCAATTTCTTGATTCTCAGTAGAAATTTTGTTTTCGGACTTTTGATTATCTTTTTCATATTGTTCTGTCCAGTCTTTACTCATATTATGAAAATCTGGCAGTGATTCTTGATTGTTTTCTATAGAGACATCTCCTTCCTGTTTCATAAATTTCATAAATTTTGAATATTCAAAATTAGGATTATCATTGTTTTCTATTGCTTCTGTTGGATGTTCTATATTTATGTTATTCTGTATAGCATCTATACTATGTTCTATATATTCTTCAGCCCATTTTGGTCCTAATCCTAGTTCATGTTTTTGATGACTTAAAATGTTTTGTTCTACCTCATGATGCCAAATGTCATCAGCATGATGTTCCTACATTAATTGAAATCATATTAAAAATTTGATTTGTATTTGTAATGCACTTAATGTATGAATTCCAATGATAAAATAAGAATTACATTAAAATGACGTCCTGATTGAAGATACTGATTTGCCCAGGCTGTATCTAAACTGGTTAATTCTTCAGCAACTCCCGGTGCTGCTATAGGTGGATGAATATTTTGATCAATTTCACGCATTTCTTGTAATAAATTATCCATTCTAAATGTTTGAGGACACGAAGGATTTTCTTCTAAAAATTGTTTAACTAACTGATCTGAATCTGAAGCTTGAAAAGGTTCCACGTGGTCAAAAGGATGATGTATTCCTTCTTCTTTAAATCCATGATCACGTACAAAATGTGACGTTAAGCGAATTAAAGAACTGGGTCCACCACAGTCACCTTCTACCAATTCACGGAATGCCATTTTTTCTAATATCAATATGTACCTAAATTGAGCCAAAAAATATATCAGCATGTATAACAATATTATATAGTAACAGTAATAAAAACAATAATAACGACTACAACAATAATATGCAAAACATACTTGGGAGTATTACATTGTAAAAAAATTCTACAACATTAATTTTATTAATTCAATTAGTTAAAATACGATGCTCATTAGTTTCATTTATTTTAATAGGTATTAAATATCGAAATAAGATATAATGAAACTAAAAATGTTTACATTAAAGTCTAATGTTATTATACGAAAATTAAAAGCGAACATAAATTTCGTTAGACATTGCAAATATTCATAAAGGTATAAAGTTCACAAACCTCGTTCTGTTTTTAATATTGTGACGTCTCCCCAACGTCTTCGCGTCACTGCGGGTCTTACGCGTACTAATTTCTCTGTCTCATTCCAATTCTAATGTCCCTCTTTCTACGACATCATGATACAACGATCAAGGCTCTATCTAGTGCCGCATCCTGGCAGTGCACCTCATTATACATATACAAATTCCACATCTACTACCTCCAACAGCTGCAGTAACTGCAGCAAACAGCGAATCAGATTTTTTTTTTCTATAATGACTATATTATATGATGTACAATGCTAAAATATATTTTTCATATATTTTATTTTAATTAAATAGAAGCCTGTCTATTGAATAGCGTATGAAATTACTGAAGTTACGCTACGTAGTGTAACGCTATTCTTTCTTAATAAGGTATATATAAATAGTATGTAGAACTATATAAATGTATAAAGAAATTTTATTGAGATAAAAACGAAGAATTTCAAATTAGTAATAAGACATTTATGTCGAGATAATGTAAACATTTGCCAAAATCCCTATGAATCGTATACCAACTTACAATCGTTCGGGAACGCCATACGATAGTTAAGAAAATTTCACCATAAATCTAGAAAATAGCATAGTTTTCATTCTTTTCCATTGAAACTTCAAGCTAGTAAAAACGTGGACGTAGATGTGAGTCAACCTGTACTTGCAGGTGTTAAATGAATTTTTTTTTTCTATAAAATTGGAAAAACGAAAATTTGGGTATGAACGATTTTTCGAAGTCTCAGCTTATGAAATATGGTTGGAGAGAAGGTATGATATTATATTTAAAGAATAATATAATAAAGTTATAATTACTGTCACATTTTATATATTTAATAATATAATAAAGTTATAATTACTGTCACATTTTATATATTTAATATGTATTTAAATTGTTTACTATTGTATTTTATTGTTAAATTGGATTTGTACAATCTAAGAAATATATGCATTATGAGAAATACTAGAAATATATGAGTAAATTGGAATAATTTGGTAAAAAGTACTTATTAATTTTTTTTTTTGTTTTTTATTTATACAGGTAAAGGTTTAGGTAAACATGAAAATGGTATTACGGAAGCTTTAAAACCAAAATTAAAATTCGATACTGCAGGACTAGGATACAAAGATAAAAAATTAAATAATTGGTGGGAACATACTTTTAATAAAGCAGCTAATAGTATCAAAGTTGTACCAAAAGCTGATGGAGTTTCTATATTTATTTCAAAAGAAAATGCAACTAATGATCTTAAAGAAGATTTAACTAAAAAAGAATCTGAATATGGAAATTTTCATAAATCTTTTACGTTATTTAATGATAATGTATTAATAAAAGATAATTCCAATGCATATGAAGAACAAGATACTGAAAAAAATATAAATCATGTTCCTTTAACGGATGAAGAGTTATTTAAAATATGTGATGGTAGAACTATTCATTATGGAGCTAGACATGGATTAACATTGAATGGGAAATTAAAAAGAATTGCCCAGCAAGACAAATATTTAAGCACAGATTCATATATAAACACATCAAAATTACAAAACAGTATCATGTTACATGATGATGAATATGAAGAGATTAATAATGAAAACATGTTATCGATGACTTCTCCTAAAAATGAAATAGCCTCCAAAGTAGACAAAACCATTACAAAAAGAGATAGAAAGCGTATGAATGATTTAAGTCATCAATTAAATGTTTTATGTAATATAAGTGATAGTAATGAAAAAAATATACATACCATAATGAAAAAAAAATTAGGACAAGGGAATAAACAAAAATATAAAGAGAAAAGAAGGAGGGAAAAGAAAAGTTCAATATACTATGATACTGAAAGTTTTGAAGAGGATAAAATAGATAATATATCAAATTATCCAACAGTTTCTCCAAGTAAAAGCATAAGAAACAAGCTAATTAAAGAATATCTTCAAAATGTAGTTAATGATCATATGGAAAACAAACATATAGATATAAAAAAAAAGAAGAGGAGAAACAAGAGATTTAGAAAGGAGAAAAATGAGATTAATGAACATGAGAATATCACTAATAAATGGGAAGGTGACGATCCGCATGGTTCTCAACCAAAGAAATTTAAAAGATCGCATAAAACTGACTTAGATATTAATTTGGTTAAGAACAAAGATATTAAAATAGAAGATAAATTTCAAGCAGAATTTTCTGGCAATGAAGTACCAGTAAAGTCGAATGATGTCACTTGTCCTCCAGTCAATGTAGCCGAGTCTCTTTCAGAAAAATCAAATAAACATTTCAAAAAGAAGGTAGATGATTTAAATGCTAAGATAAAGAAAAAGAAGTTACATAAGAAAAAAAAAACCGAATTATCTAAAATAACAAAAAGTTTAGAGGCTATACATTTAGAAAAATCTGTTAAACAAAGAAACATTAAAAATGAATTAAAGGCAGTAACACGGAATATGATGATGATGAACGTAACAGTAGATAAAACTGAGGTTTTAAAACAGAAAAAAATAAAAACAAAAAAATTAAATTCTTAAAAATTACATCAAATTATGAAATTATTTACAATAATTGTATATAAATTTGTGCAAATAATAATTATCTTGTTATAGATGTAATTTTTTTCTAAATACATAATTTTTAAAAATATGTGGTCTTTTATTTACTACAAGTGGTTTTGATTTTTTTTTCATTTTTCATAAGGGGGCTGGAATAATCAAATTCAAGAAAACAATACGTTTTTCCATATTCTTAACAATATTTTTTTCTCTTCATTATACAATTTATTAATGGACACAAATTTTTGACAATTCAGTAGACGCGCGTAACAAATCAGTTATAGACGTATGTATTATATATGAATTTGTAGAGACAAATGTATCATTTCAAATTCTTGTATTTATCAATACCGTATGCACTTGTGTACAGCTCATCCAAGAAATAACAAGCGTGTTGGTATTTTAAAAATTTATTACTAAAATTCATCAATTTTATGTTAAAAAAATATAATTTTTCTATTATATAAAACTTAGTTTTCATAAAAATTAAATGATGACCTGTAAAAAAGTACATCCGGCGAACATATAATTAACTGCTATATATAGCACCAAATTTCATAACATGCTAGAGAAACTTCGAAGATCAATTTTTCGAGCAATATATTTATATAAAATAAAACAAGATTTCTAAGGCCACTAGAATACTCCGTAGAGTCGTTAATAATCTTAGTTTTGCTTTCACTAGTGAACGAATCTCACTCGACAAGCTTAATGAGTATGAATTCGTATTATTTAATTGAGCTAATAATTTATTTAAACATTGGTGTACTAATGATATATTTTGCACTATTAGCAAGGAATAAAATCCAGTTTTTTATATTTATAATCATTAAAATATCGTATAAAATGGTAAAATTAGTTGGAGTACAAGAAATGTAATTATTATTATTATTAGTATCACTAGTATTGATTGATACGTTATAACGAATTTTTATAAAATTTCACGTATTCTTAGCATACAATAGGCTACATCAAATTTATAATACCTAAATATATGTGTCGTATTTAAATAAATATTATAATACAACACTAACAATAATATTTTGCACAAAATACACACATTCAAAATTGGATGGATGAATTTTTTAGCTATAATAATCTCACATAAAGTTACTTGCATCTAATATTACTTACAGATAATAAATAACAAGCGCAAAATTTGAAAATCATATAATTATGAAAAATTAGAAATTATACAACATAATTGAAATAATCAAGTATGAAAAAATATTAGTTTTATAATTTTGAACATACAAATTTTAAACAAAATGAATAGTTATTGAAGAAATAACTATTATAAGACTTATTGGCAATAACTGCAAATAGCAAAATATATATATATGTATATATGTTCTTATAACAATTCTTTTAGAATTGTTAGGAAGTCAAATTTCAGAGAAACTTCTTTCGATTTAGGCAACAAGTGTAATTTAATACACTTATAACATGTTTTATATATATTTTTTTTAAATTTTTGTTGTATTTTGTTAATTATATTAAATTTACTAAAATAAATGCCATTATTTAAAAATTTGAATTATATTTTACAAGATTCATCACAAATAATCTTGACATAATTTATAATAAATTAAAAATATTTTATCATATATGTATATTAGCATGGAATGTCAAAGTATTTTTGAAATTTTTGAGATTATGATTGTAAAATCTATATAAAATGTTAAGCAAAATTTGATATGAAATTAAATAAAGCTAAAAACTTATTGATCACACATATGCAAAACATGATAAAATTGTGAAAAATATTGGTCTAATTTTTATCATATAAAATTTGATATGTTAAATGATCAATAATATTAACTTTGTGTTTAGCCTTTCAAACATTTAAATAAATATATTGTATTCGCAAAATTATTTAAACTTTGAAATAAATATTAAAATTTTAAATTAAAAATCAAATGAGCATTTAATTATTTAGATTTTTGTAAATGGAAAAGAAAATTAATTCATATAGCAAGTCTAATTGACAATATTTTTCTTAAAAGCTATTGTTATTCAAATGAAAAAATAAAAACCTTTATTTAAACATCAATTACTAATCTCTTATCATAGTTTAAAAAAAAGGTTCTCTTCATTAATAATTTTTGTACAATTTTGTTTTGTAATGTAAGATATTTTATCATAATATTATAACAGAATAGTTAGTATTATTTTGATTTAAGAAATAGTAAATAATAATAAATGATCTAATGTTTAAAAATTTCATTAATTTAAACACACTTGTTAGTTCTTCTCTTCACTATATAGTATCCAATGTTCCTACCATTTCTGTTTAGTGTAACTGATTTCTTAGCAATATGAGAATGAGTACTGCAAGAGAGGTTTGTATCATTCAATTTCTTCCATATAACATACATACTAGACACATTCACTTTATGTGCAGTAATAGCATTTCTTAATGTGCAAGGATCCAATTTACGTGGAACATAACTAAATCCAGAATGATTTATAGGTCGTACTTTTGCATGCTTTGCACAAAGACCAGTAATGTAAACATCTTCCAAATGAAGTAATGGTGTTCTTAATGCTGCATGATATAATTTAAATGCCACATCTAAACTCATTACATATCCAGTACCAGATAAATAATTAGGATATATTCTTTCAGAATACATATATTTTGGTGTATACCTAATTAAACATATTTATATCTCTTTTTATACATCCTTATCCATTTACACTATGATATGAATGTTACTTACCACTTATTATTTGGATCTAAAATAGGTTTGGCATTGCAGATAAGAGAACCTAACAATGTATTAGTAGTTTGTGATCTTGATTGTAAGGTTCTCATTAAAGTAGGAATATTTACAAACATATCATCATCTGTTTTCATGAGATATTTTGCTTGGCCACAATTTGATGTTACCCATTTCAACATCATTACAGACTTTAATGTTAAATTGTTATAAGTATCATAAAATTTTTCTTGAATAATATCATTGTATTGATGGCTTTCTTCAGCTATCATACTCTGTAAGATAAATTGTTATTCAAAATTTGTTTATACAGCTGTCAAATTTCACATATAGACACATACATTAAGTGTATCATTATCACTTTGTCCCAACAAAAATGCTACTTTCACAGTTGAATTGTATGTATTATTTAAATTATTTTTGTTAGCCCAAGTATTTCTCATAGCTATCCGAGCCTTAACATTTGTAATAGCTGAACAAATAACTATGAAAAGATATGGTGATGGAGAACATATATCATTAGGACTTAAAACTGAAGTTGTATTTTCTGGATGAATATATACACAAAGATCCCTTGAAGTATTATATGCCCATCCTGGCAATTGTGCTGTAAAATATTTGCATTTATAAAAATGTTTTATTTTAATTCTCTAAGAAAAGTTGTATTCATGAAATTTTTTCCTTAAGCTTTGATTTTATGTGCATGCCTAAATTAAATAATTATTTTATTTTAGCATCACTCAAGCACTCTACAATAAGTGGATAGAAAAAGAAAGATTGAATTATATTATTAATGTTTTTTCTATTATTCAAATTTATTTCTTCTTCTTGCTAATTCTAATATCTATAAATATATAATTGACTAAATCAGACTAAATTAGATTAGATTAATGTTTATCATTATATTTTATTTCTTGACTCATTGAAGATTTAATATAATAGTAAGTAATATGTAAATATAATCTATGTATATCTATGATAATTTTTAAGCTTACATATTGTAATCCATAGAATTTAAATATGAAACTGACTAATAATTATAAAAAGAAATATAAAAGCAGATTCATATAGTATTGTTAGTTTATAACACAACAAAGGCTCTAGCAATGTTAGTGGATGCATACCTACTGAGGCTACCAAATGTGAAACACCAATGTGTTTTGCAGGAGATGGAGTCTCACCTAAGCCTAAAAATGAACCTTGGGCAGAATGATACGCTGGTACATATAGTAAGCCTAATGTAGCCAAAATTATAAATCCAACTGCTAATCTTCTGACAAATGATATTTTTCCTTTAACTGTTCCATTACTATTTATATTGGTGGCCGATGGCAATTCCAATGGCAGTAGTCGCAATTTGTCCATCTACGAATAAATAATATATTATCAGCTTTTTACTTATTTCATCTACTTAATAGCTCAAAAAAATAAAGTAAATGTTATTAAATAAAATAAATATCAACATTAGAATTGAACAGAGTCAAATTTTAAATACTGAAACTATTTTTTAATAGATCAAGTTTTTTTTGGAATTAATTTGTTTGAAAAGTGATATGGCAGTTTAATTCAATTATAGGTGTATCAATGGTAAACAGAAATTTTAAGTAAGCTATTAAATCAGTAAATTAATATATTATTGATTTATTTTTATAAATTGTAGCAAGTATTATTAAATGTTGATATAAAAGCAAAATTCAATTTTTAAATTAAATTTACATTGTAAACAATTCTACCTTTGAGATGCAATGATTGCGTTGCGCTGCATTTGACAACTCTCCATTTACCTCTGTCGTAAATCGCAATTACGATTTATCGAAACATATCGTAGAAATCTAACAACGTTTCAGAGTGAATAATATAAAAATAAAAAAGGAAAAACTTTTATTTGGACCTTCGTAATTTTGCGAGTAGGAACTGAATCCAAATGGTTAGATATCGCGCGAATGTAGTTCCACCTAGTGTTAATTATCTGGATTGTTTATTGGATAGTAACAGCATTGACTAAGAACAGAATAGACATGATGTTATATAGGATTTAATATCTCATATTCTGAAATACCGACATTGGAAATAAAATCTTAAGTTCTTTGCGATTTGCTATGGTAAATATAAAAATTTAATTGCTAAGACAATAATATCAGTAATATTGTTCTCGTTATAATTAATTGGAATAGTGATTTTGTACAATATCTAGAATAGAAAAGTCTTTTCGAATTTTAGCAAATTAAATACATTAAATTAAATAAGGTAACTTAGATCAATTGTCTTATTTAATGAACATTAGAAATTAGAGAAAGAATTGTTTTCGTATAAAATTTCCGTATAAAATACACGCACAATGATTTTATCTTGAGTAAAGATTATAGCGTCATGACGAAATACAATTACTCCAATTTTCTTTGGCTTGTATATCACTTAACAGTCATTTTTTCTAATTGCTTATTATTGCTTTATTTATGCATTATTCAATTCTCTGCGCGTATTTCTAAAATATCAAGCATGTATTCTGGGTTGGGAACCGCTGATCTACAGTATTAGGATATAACTATGCATTTATGTATAATACTACTGATATGTAACTTACGTATAGTTTTGGGATGTAGAAATATCAACTTTTAATGCAAAGCACAGCAATGGAATTATACAACATCTAGGAATTATAAGGTAAAAATTACAATCAGTAGCTTGTTTTTGCATTGTCGAATATGTATACAATCCAAAATAGTAAGCTATATTTAAAAAAATTATTACATACATTTAATTGAGTTACTTGTTGGTTAGAAGTGAATATATATGTTTTTATACGCTCGACTCACGAAAATATTTGCATACTCATAGAAAATTTTTATATTTTAATATTAAAAACGATTCTACCGTCCGTTATATTTTCAGATTGGCTTCAAATACGAACTGATAGGGCATGTAAAATTAAAATTTCTCATTGAAAGCAAAGTTTCGTCCTAAAAAAGTATTTCTTTAATTATGTACCATAAATTTCTTCAAATTAACTTAATTTCCGAAAAAAATACTCCTATAGATATTCATATTCATACATATACAATTATGTGATTAGTTAATTTTTCTTTTACATAAATCTGACGAATCCTATTCGTCCATATTTGAGCGCCCCCACCCTTCTAAATTAATTCGTGTCTAAACTTGTTGCGCAGGAGTCTAATTTTTTAGATCGTGAAGTTAAGACATATTACTTTGCGTGATATTTATTAATTGTGCAATATTTTTTTCATCATCATTTTTCACAATTTATTCCGACACGACGCTTCTCTGAACGCTCATCGTTTAATTGACGCACGTATTTATTCTTTATTTCATTGAATATTGTAATTCATAATTAAATTCTTGATCATTTTTTTCATTGTCACACTTGTTGATAGCTCGTATTATGAGCTTCCAGAATGATATTTGGCCTTGATTGTTTCATTTTTATATAAATTATTTCTGTTATTTGTATTTATTTGTAAGCTTTGATTTTCTTTTGCACAGATTACAAATTGAGTACGGAAGAAATTTTGAAATGTTAAGGAGACGCCATGATGGTAACGCT